GTTGCTGAAATGAGAGTTTATACTGAAAACCATATAAATCAAACAAAGCACAGAAACCAGACAAGATGACTGTTAGCCTATCACTTTCTCCAACAACAATTAAACAATTTGTTGGAGCTCACAGGCTGAGATCACAACATAGGAAATAAATGTGCAAGGCTCTTGTCACTATATGCAGCCATAACATTATAAAAGGAGACGCTATTTTCATAAATCAAACATTGATCATCTCGTCACAAAGGACCAACTTTACCGTTGTATATAACATTATCCCTATAAAAAAAAAGTTATTTCCATGAACCAAAAAGTGGTCATCTAGGTCAGAATGGAGCAACTTTACTATTGTACCAAGGTTCACCGTCAGATGGGGATCTGAATAAATACCAAAGAATTTGGATTTGTCATGTGTACAACTGAAAAAAAAAAACAAAATACATGAAATTGGAAGTGTGACCAAGGTTGCATGCTAATAAACAATGGTGTAAAGGAGCATGTGGATAACTCCCTTGACGAAGAAAAAAAGCTAAGCCCAAATGTGATTTTTTTAATCAAATAAAGTCACTAGTAAAGGTAACACTCATACTACATTACAATCATGGCTTCTAGAAAAAAGCAAGCAAAAATAAGGAGAGATGTTGGTCAGCAAGGCTGCCAGTGCATGAAAACTGCACTGGTGTTCAAAGAACAATATTAGTGCAGGATAATCATCATACAATCATCCAGTTATGGTGTTCCTGAATGAGTCCAGGATTCCTCATCAAGTCCAAGTTATACAAATATATTATGTTGCTTGGTCATAACTCCATGATTCCAAATAAAATGATTACAAAAACAAAAGCAACTTCATTATCCATAAATACCAGTTTTTGGAATTTGAATTACTATTGAAACATGTGATCTAGTATGAGGAAACTTAGAACTTCCAGTCGGTTCAAGAAACATCTATCAGACCATGGCAAAGGGTAATGCAGGATGAACAAAACTAGCTTATGCTATGATGTGTTCTCTCTCAAGCCGTCCCATCTGATACACAACATAGTTCTTGAATTCTGTTGTCCTTCAGGATTGCAGTCCATATCATACTATTTGCAGATATTATTTGCAAATTTGTCTATTCTATCTTTCAATCTGTGAATCAATAGCTTGACCAGATAGCATGAAGCACATCCAATTGAGATTACATCTAGGTTTCAATACATTAATGATATTCTTATTTCTTAGATTTATGGCAAACTTTCTAGGACAATCTGTCTGCAAAGAAAACTTCTCAGACATATTAAAGTTATTGCAGTCCATCCCAAGAAGCATGAGGGTAAAAAATAGTTGTGTTACAAGGTTGTAACCAAAGCACATTTTAAAAGCAATTGAGGAACTACATAATTCTGAAACAGCAACATTATATCTCTTGAAAATTTACACATCTGATAATCTTTTTGTCATATACCTGAGAAGATCTTCAAAAAAATCTGAATGGTTCTTTAACTCTGCTACAGGCACCGAAGCATACTTGGAACCCAGTTTTTCACAAATAGAATCAGGGTGGACATCTAATAAAACAAACAGATCACATGAGTTTTTACAAATGGTGGAGTATGAAATTGTGTCCATTACAAACCTACTCTAGCCACAAAACTCATCACTGAGGATGAATCTTAATATATATTAAACCTGAGATATTGAACAATGAACAACAAATGATAGTTAGTACTACGCACAGTTACTTACATAAGCCAAATGCATAGAGCTTCAAAGACTTGAGCTTTATTATTCTCATGCTTCTAGAACCAATTCCGACAAGCACCTGAAAATACCAAAAAGATGAGAAAGTATGATAATCACAAAACTCCACAAAATACTTTAGCTCATATTTGGTAACATTTTTGTGTCTGAAGTTCTCTTGTGCCCTAATAGTCAACTCTTTTTATCCAAATCTGATACAGATAACAACAAAATATTGATACCATGATGAAATTTTATAGTATATAAAGTCAATATATGTTGAAGGGTATTGGCTAAAAGCCTAAAACAACTAAATGAGTATACAAACTATGAAAATCATGTTTCAAGAATTATCTAGAACCATATAACTATGGAGATCATGTTTCAAGAATCAATACTTAGCAGATGGCATACAAATTGTAAAGACTCAAAATGCACAAATCAATCTGAAGTTTCACATAAAGAAATCATATAACACAAAGCTCCAATTTGATAACAATCCACTAACGATAGTATTAATTGTAAAGGAGTTTGATCTAGCATCTCAGTAATAAATTTAAAGCATCGGGTCCATGAAAACTATGTAGGGGTCTTTCTTCCCGAGAAGCACAAAATTCATGTATAATTAAATACACAAAAAAATGGAAAAGTACTTCGAAAGACCTTATTTTCTATTTTAAAATTCAATAAAAATGAAAATAAAAAGGTACATACTTCATCAATCAGTAGTTCCTCTCATTTGATCCTATGTATTAATTCAGCTTCAAGACATCACAAAATCAATAAATGAGAATTCTAAGATTTTCAAATGAATTAGTAAAACATCCATGATTGAAGCTATACTATGCATCAAGAATGTCATCACATGTTAATGCAAACAAAGATCACAAGATTGTGTATATATGGACCTTAGTAGTTAAACTGAAGTTATCCTCCAAGAATGTCGGAAATTTGATGCCTGTTTTTGGTTCAATTGCATCTCCTTTCCAGTTAATGTTTGATGCAGCAAGGGTAGCACAGCCATGATAGTAATCCTTTCTGTGTGACTGATTTACATGGCCACTGATCTGATCACTAGTGCTTTCCAACGTAATTGAATTGGCTAGTGCCTTTGAGGATCTAATATAAAATACAGGAAAACCATCAAAAAGGGATCACCTTGAATTGGAACCAAATGCTAAGTGATAAAAGCAAGTTTTAGGATATTCTAAAATTTTAAGCAGACACAAAGAAAAGATAACTTACTTGTTGTCAAAAGGAGGTATGAAAGCAGCAGCTAGTGATAGAATGGGAAGACCAAAACCATGGTGGACGCGAACTTCCTCACAGAAGAAACTTAACGTGGAACTTGCAAGCTTTGTGAGATAAGCTTTTATGGCATATTTGTTATCTGAACCAAAAACAAAATGCAATGCAGCAAGGTTCTGTCTTGAAGATGCAACTCGTTTGATCTGGGCACAAGATTCAGAGTGGCTGGGGATGGAGCCAAATACATCGGCAGGAACTTTGTGAAGTAAATTGAAGTCTGACTGAGTGGAGAGCCCGATCGATAGCGATCCAGCAAACTTGGAAATGAAACGGAACGCTTCCTGTAGGACTAGAATACCAGAGGCATAAATGTGGCTGGTGCAGTAGATAGAATTGTTTTACCAAAGAACTAAACTCTGACAATATCCTCAACCAATACCTTGAAATAATTGGAAATCTGTTGGGAGATTAGGTGTGTCAGCGAAATCCACATTTGCGAACAATGAGTTGTTCTTCATATTAATTCTTCGTGATACGTATCAAGAAGGATGAATCCAAAGAATCTGCTCACCCAAATACCGGAGGAAGCCCTGTAGAATGTTCAAATTGTTTATATAGAACATAGAAGCAGAAAACGAGAAAAGAAACGAGGAAGATGTTCACTATGGACAGGGATTAACCGAGACAGTCGAACACCTATTTCTCCGTCGCTTCGTTCAAATGGTAGCAATTAGGAAAAAGATGCACAAACTGGAAACTATCCGACCAGCAAAAAGACAGACCGCATTAATTTTCGTTCACCTTTAAATGATGCCAAATACTACGAAAGTTGAAGGGAAAACAAAAGGAATCCATCTCCCACCAACATAATCACAAGAAACCGCAAGGAAAGAACCGAACAAGGAATGGATGTGTTCGACGCACCTGGCGCAAAATTGCGTTCAAAGAAAGCTTCGTCTCGCGGGATCAACAACGCCCGCGCATCAAATTAGCTGAATCAAAAGAATTAACGCAAAAGAGAGAGAAGGAACGAAGGAAATCTATCGATGAGCGACGAGAAGACTTGACGGGGAAAGGGCTAAAGGAACGAATATTCTCTCTCTCCTCCGGCTAAAAAAGAGCTCCCTTTTATATAACGACAAAAAATTAGGAATAGTCCCTTTTTAGCAACAGTGACACCGAAATTCCATATTTGCCCCTTCATGCATAACCCTGTTGATTGATGATCACACACCACCTTTAACTATGGGCAAGAAAAAGAACAATGATCGTCTACTTCCGAAGCTGCAAAGAACTGTAGAACCGAAAACGTGGCAATTAATGGTTGGATGGGAACAAGACGCTGACGCCATCGTTTCAACGAGACCACTCCCAGGTCGTCGGACACGCAGTTTTAAGATTGATCTCTGCAGTAAGGATTGTAGTGGCGGTTTGAGAGAGGAGCTTGCCACGAAAGGACGCGCGACGGAAGCCACGGCGAGGATCGAGTCGGTAGTGGCGGCTGGTCGGTGGTATGAAATTAGGAATCAGCGTTTGGGACGGCGTGGGATGAGCAGCGACGGCCACACGGAGAACGCATGCCACTGTGCAAAGAAGGTCTCTCACGTGTTCCTTGCGTGATCAACTTTGGCGTCGAGATTACGATATATATTTTTATTAAATTATATGGATGATTTACTGAAAACAAGTTTCTAGTTTTATACTCCTTCGTCACGTATATATCAGCACTATTTTTTTTTTTCTATTTTAGTAAAAAAATAGATTTTTTAAATGCCGTAACAAAATTGAATACTAATTTTGAAGGGTTTGACTCACTTTTGGCTTATTAGTTGAAAATAAACACAAAAATTTTTGCTTTAAAACTTGCTTAATATTGATGATGACGGTCAAATAATTATGTGTGTTCATGATAAGAGCATGCAAAACGGCACTTGCCAGATATTGATCTGCGATCCTGAAACTTGTCGAGCATACCTGCATTTTATGTAAAATGAAGTTAGCCCAACAAATGAAATTTCTGATTCCACCTGGAATAATTTAAACATGGCCTTCAGCTCAGCCAGAAAAATATTTTATAATCCAAAGCTCTATACTTTTACAAAACCCAAACATCTCGTAATTTCTGGCAGATAAAAAATGTTCGACCTATGTTACAAAATTTCATCTCATCCGCACTTTGGATTGGTTTTTTAAGCTACTGGCGTTTCTTTTTAGCGATCTAACAGTGGACAAGAAGTCATTCTTTTCTTGAGGTAATGACTCGGAAGACACAGCCTCTTCTTTTCCTGGAACGACATCAATATCTTGTCCAGATACAGAAAAATCTTCATGACGGGTGCCAACTTTCCCTGCACCCTTTTTCTGCTTTTCAACACGTTGCCTGACAAACGCAGCACTCCTGTAACACCAAAAGTTGGGTTTCCTTAGGACAGATCTAAAGAAAAATCTCAAATAATAATAACACAAGAATAATGACATTGCCCAAGATAACAGGAATGACCTTTTGTACTGTGGATCGGTTGGGTCCAAGGAATACAGATGAGATGCCAAAAGGGCAGAGAATCTTGGATCATTGCTAACATCTACATCCGGTAACTTGCCCTCCTCGTGAACTTGTTTTCCTTTCTTGCCTTTAACCTTCTTGGGCTTCAGGTTATAGCCTTTAGGACCTGTGTTCGGACCTTGGTCGTCAGTCAACAACAACTCAAGCTCAGCTCTACTTGCTTCACGTTCCCTATCCAAATCTCGCAGATCATCTCTCCCTCTATCATCTTTGCCTCTTTTATTTGACGGGGCCTTGCTCCTTTTCTTGCCAACCTTGGGTTCAGTATCCCCGGGTTCGTCGATGAAGAAATCATCAGTTTGGTCAGGTGCCTCTTCAGCATCATAATCACTACTATCATCCTCGGAGTACTTGGACCTACTCTTCCTAGCTTTCTTCTTTTCACTTCTCTTTCTAAGCACTGCTTCCCAAACTGTTTCTGATTTTTTGTCCTTCTTCTCGAAGATCCGCTTGCTTAGGTCCTCCAACTCCGTATTGAATGTGATCTCCAAATCTTTATCATCGCTCTTGTCTCCATCAGAATCATTTTGTGATAATAGAAGAGCTCTTAACTCTTCAATTCCCTTGCGCTTTTTAACTTCACCATTGGGCAATGCTGATGGGTCATTATTCTCATCATCATCTACTTGATCATTCTCATCATCTTCATCACTGTCTCCACTAGAACCTAGATACTCATTCAACTCATCCAGCTATACGAGGGAAAAAAAATCTGTATTAGCTTATCAGACAAATCAAATGCAAAGTGGCTTAACTTATATAAAACTGATTAACTCAAGAAGTTACAAGAATCACCATACAGTTCAAGCAAACAAATCCAGTTCTGTAGTGTGTGTGATATTCAAAGAAATCAATTTAACAAATCCACATTGCACGCATGCCAAAATAATATCAAAGTAACTACAATAGCAATTTTGGGGAGAAAAAATCACCGGAACATTCAGGGAGGCGCTAGCCTGAAAACTCCACATTCATCTCAATGTTCTCATCTCAGTTATACTAACTCTTCGTACATGTTTCGTAACTACTTAAGGCTCCATAGAGCGTGGCTAGCCTAAACAATTATTGAATAATATTTTTTCTTTTAGTCTAAAAGGCACCTAGCGATCACAAAAAATCTTCAAGTCACTATTTACTTTAACCATTCAATTTTTATTCTATAAGAAAAATCTTCAAATAATCTCTCCATCCTATCAAACAATTATCTCTCATATATATACTTAATATAAAACCTTTAATTTTCAAGTTTTGTCTTCACAATTCAAATTCAAAACCAATTCCAAATAAACTCTCATTAATTACAACACATAAAAGCAAACCAATGAGGATAAGATCGCTGGAGATTTCTTTTGTGTGTGTCCTTGGTCACGGTCATTGCTAATACTAAAGGTTTGTCAATGTGAACATGGACAATTTTGTAGATGCATCCATGCGTGACATATAGCCTAAGCAATTAAAGGTTTGTTTACAACCTAGGTGCTAGTTTACGTGCCCAAGCAATCACCCATGAAAACATGGATTCTGGAGACGAAAGGGTCAACCATTCCTAGCAAACCCCTTCCCAATTAGGTAGCACCGAGGGACAGAAAGCCCCTCTAGCTAAAACCTTTGATCTAGCAAATGTAGGAAGTGGATCCAGCCAGCTAGGAAGGTGTCAAGTAGGCTGCGGAAAGGCAAAAAGCATGTCATGGCTTTGGAAGCCTCTAATGAGAAATTTACAGCTATACAACTAGTAAAAAGATCTAGATTATTAGGAGTATTAGATGCGTACTGTGAATTGAAGACACAGTAATCTATATACGTGAACATTGTAAGCTTTTAAAGCTCATAATTTCTTGCATGTTATCTTCCTTTTGCTTAATAATAGCTAACTACTCTAGCTCTAGTTCTTTCGATTCATAATTGGAGGCACTTGTATGCCTTGATGTAGTGAAGCCCTCCTTCATGAAAGAAGACGGGCCCCAAGAACAGAGTAACCATCCTAAAGGTCAAGAAGTCAAACTATGAATGATTAAAGGGGAATCCGCCATTGAACCATTCCCAAGGAAATTCATAAACATCAAGAATATGTACTAACTTTTAAATGAATAGTTCAATATACATGGAAAACCAAAAATCATCTATATGGTCCATTGGTTTGAAACTTTGAATTATGACAAAGAGAATCATTGAGAGAGGAGCTTAATAATAAAAAATGACTATAATTAGTGGGATGTGATAGGAAATTAACTCCAAGCTACACATTTATAAGATCATAGTTGCTAAAGAGAACATTTAGATGGCGAAGCTAACTAAAGTAATCTTAGTTAAAATGACCAACCTGATTTGGATTGAACTTCTGTCTTAATACCTTTTTACGCTCTGGCTCATCCTCTTCCCAGGTTAGTTTCACTTTGCTATGTTGCAAGGCACGAGTTTGGAAGGCTGGCTCCTTGTAGCTTGTTGGTGCCTAATATCACAATAATAATCAGGTATTAAACTTGTCCAAATATAAATTAAAAAAAAGAATCAAAGCTACTTCTAAAAAGTAAATTGTTAACATCAGAAGTTTCAGGCACATGAAAACTTTTAGAAATCCATTAATTTTTATAGTAGATACGTTTGTTGAAGTGAATCCATTTATTCCCCACTAAACACAACCTAATACACAATGCAGGAAGGTCCATGTGACAAATCTCTAAGTGGACATCAATAACAACTCAAATCAACTTTTTATTCGTGTTGGTAACCAGCGGGTGCAGAGGGGTTCCTGCATGCACATGCTAGACACTTAAATAAGTATATGGGAACATGCATACTCAATATGAAGTAGAATCATATCAAATAATTATAATTGCAGTCAAGGGCAAATAGATGAATGAATGAATGAACTAATGCTCAAGAGTGGTGAGCTCTAACTGCAATAAATTTTACATTTCCAAATCTTCATAAACCAGACAACTTTCAAAGTTTTGCACTGTTTTCACCCTTATTAACTCATATATCAAGATTATACAAACATTAACTGCACTGACTTCAAATAAAATATGGTTCACAACTAACTGACTTGATTTTCTAACTCCAACTTTGCCAAAACATATTGTTGAAATAGCCAGCAGAAAAGCATTTGTAACATAAAAGAACTAAGAGTATACTGTTTGCTAAACCTCAAAGTCAAAAGTTCATAGTTTATTCAGACTGAAAATTTTGCCAAAAATTTGAGCATTTTCAAAATAAAATCAAAAGGAACTCTATGACTAAAGAAATAGATAAAAACAACACTCTAGAGAAGTCACCTTGGAAATATCTTCCAAAATGCTTTCGTATGGATCAAGCATATTGCAAGCCTATCTCATATCTATCTTGTGAACAAACTTCATTGGTATCTACAGCATTAAAAATCACCTATAATTTTACAGAAAGAAACTTGTATTTCCATTGTGAAGCAGGTGCTTTTTGTTTTGCAGAGTCGGAAAAAAGGGAAGCTTCAGCCGTCACAAGTAAATCTTTAGCCTATCCGTCCAATGAATTAAATTATTGTAATTAATACAGTGTCAATTTGCATATACATCCAAAGGCTAAAAACAAGTACCTCTGTGGTGACATCACGAGGAGGATGCTTGAATTCCATAGAATCAGGAATGAATCGTAGATCAAAAACATTTGACGTTTTCAGAAGCTCAGTGCCATCGAGAGTTTTATAAATATGACTGGCGGTAGCACTTGAATCACAAATTACAACAGCATAACAATACCTACATCATCATTGGAAAGAGAAAAAGATCAAATTAGTTAAAGACTTAGAAAGCACAATCCTTATGATTTGGACTGTCATGTGAAAATGGAAGTATAACTATCATCAAAACTTTCAACAGAACAATTATATGTTTTTACCATAAATCCTAAATATATCCATGATAATCGCTATAGGAAACATTCATGTGAAAACACATAGAGGATATGACAACAGATAATTCACTGCAGTCAATTGTAAACTGTGTGCATGTACAGACAAGTATAAAAACATTAGCCCAAATGGCATTCACAGTTCAACTAAAGAATATATAAAATCTCAAACAATTTTCTAGGACACAAGAAACTTGAGGAGAAATGTGCTTTTATAAAATCACCTTAGCTTGTTCAACTCATAATTACGCAACTTTTCATTGTCAATATCAGAATCATCCTCACTATGGTCGTCGCTGTCATCAAAGAGACCAGATGGTCCATTAACTGCTTCAATTTCCATGCATTTGAGCCCAAACTCAGACGGATAGATAGAAACTGACAAAATATTTCCACCCTTTGGGAGACATGAACTCATCACAACATATATATCAACAGCCTACACAGCACGAACTGAATTTCAGATTCAGATGAATAATGAAAAATTCAAGTCAAACAAAGATAGCATCCGAAACTGAACATGCAACAACATCTACTTCATGAATCAGTTGAGATAAAAGATGATCAGCTAATAGTGTGCACCTAAGACATGTTTAGTATTTCCAATAATGAATTTTCTAACTTAAGTGACAACCTGAAGTTTATAGAGAATAATTATTAATACTTGCATAGAATTACAAAATAAACATAAACTAAGGAAACAAGTAAGCAAATAGAGACACCAAGACATCAGAGATACAAACTCATTCTTGCAATAACATCAAGAGTCACCATGGTCAAGGTTATCTAGTTGTCTCCAGTCACTAGCTGAGATGGTATAGACACCCCACTCATTAAGGACAAACCAGCCCTCCAGGTTCTATCCCAGCTGAAATAGGTTGTGCAGTCCTTGCTCAAACGGCATCCATAAAAAGTGATACTTGTTGCTTCGCACGGAATACCCGTGTATCGATCCACATCTTTACCAGTTGGCACATCCAACCTATACATTGGTGTAACCTTAACAATATCAACTATTTCTTTCACTAGTAAACAACCAGCTCAAGACAGCATAAACCATTATATACATGATCTCGGACAAGTTGCAGTTAGAAATTTAATGGACAGCTCCAACGAGGAAAAAGAACAACGGATGCGGTGCAGGAAGGCACTGCAAACATCCCACAGTGGCATGTATGTGGTACTTGCCCTCACTTCCATGGTTCACAACAAAGTGTGAGGTTCCATAAGAAGGTTTATATTCTTGACTTTTGTAAAGCCCATGTAGGTACTTGACCTCCCTTCCATGGTTCAAAACAAAGTATGAGAAACCACATATCACGATTATATTCTTTAATTGGGTAAGCTCAAAAAGCATATGTCATAACCATCTCAGACTAACTTCAAAATTAGATAAAAGAAAACAAGATTATGTTAGAACCTATCTGACTCAAGAAAATTATCTTTTCTTCTGAGAAGAAAGCTCATAAAACATCTTACCAAAAAGTGGAGAACCATTTAGAAGAGAAAGCGGGGAACCTAAAAGTGACACCACAAAATTGAAACATATACTCCATTAGTGCAGGAGACAACTGTTTATCTGGTTACAAACATAAACTGCATCTTTCTTGGCCTCTGGAAGATGAATTTTACATAAATCATAACATTTATACATAAACGTAAGGTTTTAAGCAACTCTTTGGCACCCATTAGTATCCTTTTATAATTTTTTCTACAATTAAATGTGACATTTCTGTGAAATGAACAAGGAGAAGCTAAATATAAAATGTAATGATATTTGTTTCTTAATTCATCATAGTATAATCAGTTGGTCCAAAAAAAAAAAAAGACTACGTTTCAGAGTGGAACTCAAGACACAAACTCTTATATATCCAAAGCAATATAAGAAATCTTAAATTTTGAGTTTAAGACATGTCAAAATTTACAAGATATCTTAAATTGCAATTTCCTGATCATAGGATATTCTACTTACCTTAATATGGTCCCAGTCCATATTAACAACTGCAAGTCTGTGAGTTTCACTGTCTATTACAGGTGTATCCTCATGACTAGCCAACAGATATCGGCAAATGTCACTATTCACTGAGTGCTGCAACCAAAGATAGATGAATCAAAGTTAGCTAATTCCAAGCACATAGATCTTTAGTGTATTTCCTAATAAACTAGCAGGCTAGCATAGCAGCTAATTCCAAGCACATAGATCTTTAGTGTATTTCCTAATAAACTAGCAGACTAGCATAGCAGCTAATCGTATAGCACAAGAGAACCCAAATAGTAAGACTATCCACAAGAAGAAACACATTTCAAACCAAAATGATCACTTTTTTTTTCTTTTTCTCCAATCTATGAAGATAGAAAGTATAGGAACTCAGGTAGTTATAAGAGCAAAACACTCACAAATAAACAAGAAAATGGGTAAAGTGCTCCTCAAGCAAAAACTGTTAGAGGTAAATGCGAGTTCAAAAACTCTTGCAGTGAACTGAAAATATAACAAGAAGAAACTATCATGCAGCAAGAAAAGAAGCATGTCAAAGGAGTATACTGGCATCCACTTAAAATAATGAAGAACTGAACTCCAACAGGCACCATAATGCAGCCGAAATTTTCAACTTCAAAGAAAACAGAACTGACATCATCATCCGTAGAACCACTCTCATCACTGCTAGAAGCAGAACTTTGCTCCTCCTCATCATCGTCACTACCCTTCTCCTCCTCCTCAGCTGAAAACTCCACCTCGGACTCGCTCCCGCTCCCTTCCATCAGGCGCCGCGGTGAACTCTCTTCCCTCTGCACCTTGGCGCTACCTTCGTTCACCTGGTGGTTCTCCTCCTCGTCCTCCTGTTGCAGATAATAATGGAGGAGGGGGTTCACAGCCTTCCCCTTCTTCCGCTTCCCCCTCTTGTCCACAGGTGCGGCAGAGGTATCAAAATTCTTGTCCGAGAACATCCGCGTGAAGCGGGAGTCGATGACGACCTTCGACTCACGCTTCGGCATCCGCTGGAACCGTGGATCGAAGTGCGCCGCCGCGAATCGAGCGTCAGTGATGAGGCTATTCTTCTCACTTTTGCTCTCCTTACTCTCTTTCTCCCCCATATGCTCCACATCATCGATCTCTCGGGCGTTGCAGTTCTCCTGCCGGGCCTTCCTCTTATTCTTCTTCTTCTTACCCTTCTTGTTATCGCCTAGGTCTTCTTCCTCCACAGCCACCGTCACCGGCGGCGGCGTCGGAAGCCTAGGCTTCTTGTGCTTATTATTCTTCTTCTTGATCTTGACGTCTTCGTCGATTGCGTCGCCATCCGGACGAAGTTGAGGGCTCTTCTTCTTTCGTTTCTTCTCGTCCCTCGCCATCGCGGTGGAACGGCGGACTCGACCGATAGGGCTATTGATATGTAGGGTTTTGAAAGCCGGCCCGGACGGTCAGGAAATCGTGAGCCGTTGTCCCTGAACCGATAGGCAGCGAACCCGTAATTTAGATGGACGTGAAAGATGAATCGCTGCTCACACGATGCGATTTACCTCACGAAGAAGGGGCTTTGAAGTCGATTTCTCCTCTCCGACGAAATAGAAATCCACTCCTATCTAAAAAATTTATGTTAAAATTTTTATAATTATGAAAGTTAAATAATCGATTTTACTGATAGAATATATAGCATATTATAGTATATAAATGATAAAAAAGATAAATAGAATTTTTTCAATTATAATGACAGACGATGATATTATAAATAGCAATTGTAGTAGTTGTTAGCAACGATAATACGATAGATTGACTATGCTGATATTGATCATAACATCGATGATAAAAAGAAATAGTCAACAAAACAATGAGACATTTGTATCATCGTCGAAGGATGAAGAAGAGGGAGGTGAGACATCTATGTCGGTATCACACTGCTTTACTGTGTCTTTCTCTTCTGGCATCGACATAGATGTCTTACCATTTTATTTTTATTTTTTTATTATTATCGATGTTTGGATTGGTATTGACGGGATTGACCATCGCGTTGTTGTTATTAATCACCACTACAACAACCATATACGACGTCATTATTCGTTACTATAATATATGTATTGTCTCTTCCGTTTATAAAATCGATTACGATAAATAAGATTAAATATTTATTTTTATAATTATAATAATTATAAAAAAAAATATTTTTTTAATCTAAAAATTAATTAAAGGTCTAACTACATATGGTAACATATGTACTTGGTCCTATAAAATGTGTTCAAAGTCGGCAGCAATTTGACAAGATATAACCACATTTGAGTGGAAGCCTCAATAAACTTCATTATGTTGATAAAATAATAATGTTTATTAGTTTATTGTACAAAGAATTATGATGTCAGTTGTAATCGTTGAAACAATTTCGTTCTCTAATTCTTACGGCACAGCATCGGACCGCCCCTCCATTTGCTGTTCCCTTTTGTTGGCACATCTGTCTGCCCTAATCGTGCTATGTTATTACTCACCACGGAGGGATAAGAACACCACTCTCTCTTCACGCCCATATGTCGCGCTCTCGCCCACGGCCATGAGGAGCGACCGCATCGCCGGCCCCGTTAAATGTTCCCCCGCGCCCCGCCGTACCACATCGTTGTGAGCCGTCACCAGCGCCACCTTCTCTTCCTCCTCCTCTCCCCCCGCCGCTGCCCCTTCTCGGGCGCCTCCGGCTCCGGCCCCGACCCTACCGACCTGTGGATCGCCAAACTCGTCTCCACCGTTTTCCACCTCTCCCCTTCCCCTGCCATTGCCGCCGACCGGATCGCCCCCATCCGCCACCTCCTCTCCCCTTCAGTCGCCCTTGCTGCCCTCCGCCGCCACGCTGACCCCCTGTCCGCCCTTGCATTCTTCGAGCTTAGCTGCTCCGCTTTTGGGATCACCCACTCTGCTGCCGCTTTTAGATTCGTGATCTGCTCTCTGTGCCAATCGGGTTTCCATGATGACGCACTGAAGGTGTTTTATCAAATGGCTAACGAGGGGCATGGTATAGAGGAGTCTTTCCTCGAGTTCTTGGCCGTTTCTTGTATTGAGGCCGGTAAATTGGACCTAGCGGTGGGATTGCTTGGTAGAGCTTCTGAATTCGGCTGCTGGTATCAATCTTACACTTTAAATAACCTACTGAGTCTTTTAGTTGGAAGAAACCTAGTGAACGATGCTGTCCTTTTTCTAAGGCAGCATTTACATTCACAGTTTTTGACTCCTGATACTTGTAGCTTCAACATAGTCATAAAGGGACTTTGTAGATTGGGTGACATAGATGCAGCATTCAATTTTTCTGATCAAATGAGGAGCTTTGGGTGCTCGCCTGATATGGTGACACACAACACTCTTATTGATGGGCTTTGTCGAGCCAAGCAGCTTGATAGAGCACAGGAGCTTTTGCAGAGAATTCAGTTAGATGGTTCAAGCTTGCCAAATGTGGTGACATACACATCTGTCATCTCTGGTTATTGCAAAATGGGCAAGATGGAAGAGGCATTGGGGGTCTTCAGTGAGATGACTGGTGCTGGGATAAGACCCAGCAGGGTAACATACAATGTTCTTATCGATGGATATGGTAAGGTAGGTGACATGCTGTCAGCTGTTTCAGTGTATGAGAGAATGTTGGCTTCTGGCTGTCCTCCTGATGTTGTTACTTTTACTTCATTGATTGATGGGTATTGCCGAAGTGGATGGCTGGATGATGCAATGAAGCTCTGGAACGAGATGAGTCAGAGAGAATTAAAGCCCAATGCATACACCTATGCTGTTGCTATAAATTCATTTTGCAGGATGAATAGGTTAAATGAGGCGAGGAAACTTCTGAAGGAACTGAAAGGGAGGAGAGATGTTATGCCACATGCCTTCATTTACAATCCTGTTATTGATGGGCTGTGTAAGTGTGGTCGTGTGGATGAGGCTAATGTGGTTGTCTTAGAAATGGAGGAAAGGAGGTGTAAACCTGACAAGTTTACTTACACTATACTTATAATTGGGCACTGCATGAAGGGGAGGATGGCGGAAGCCATAGCCCTTTTCCAGAAGATGGTCTCTTCTGGCTGTACTCCAGATAGCATAACAGTTAATTCTTTAGTATCATTTCTTCTGAAGGCTGGGATGCCCAATGAGATCAACAAGATAATGCTTACTGCATCTGAAAGGTACATAGGATTGGACAAACCATGTCAAGAGATTCCTTCATCGCTTGGAAAAAGCATGGGTATTTCAGTGGCTATGTAAGCAAAGTGTGTTTCCAAGCTGAACTGCTGAAAGATAATAATTACAGGAGTTTGGGAGGTTTTCGTATCCCACATTTAACCAAGCCATCCAACTAGGCTGAAAATGCATGGTAGTCATGGAAACATTGCTATCGTCACAAGACTTCATTTTGGGCCAGTCTCTATGCAATATCAAGAACTGAACATTTTGGTAAAGGAAAAATAAGTGGATTGAGACATTCTGCTTTGTTTTTAAGTGGATTGAGGCATTCTGCTTTGTTTTCTCTCTCTTTAAAAGCATTCTGTCAGCACATGGCATCATGTTGTCTGTCACCCGTTCACATAATTGAGTTTCCATGCGAAAAAATTGACAGTTAATGTGGAGACAAAAGATCTGTCTAGAGCAGAGAAATGTGAATCATTGTCAACCCAGCATGTTTAAGATCTTATAGAGTTAACTGCCATTATGTCTTGAATAAGATGATAATACATTGGATGAAAAATGTTTCACTAAGGTTGGTTTTTGGAAATTTTGGTGCTGAATTTTTCATTCAACAAATGTACTTCTCTTGCTAACTATTAGCAAATTTATGATGTCAGTCATGGCAAAAGTATTTAGCAATTGCTAGTCAAGGCCTTATGTCAGTCTGTTGTTAACTTATCCTGTGACTGTCTTTTTATGTTCAGTTAAATTCTACTACTTATTTCATGGTACAGAAAATAGATTGATCATGCATATCGTTAACATAAATTCCTAGTGATATCTTCAAACAACTTAAATCGACTAGTGATCAGTAGGGGCATAAATATGCAGTAAAATTTTTCATAATGTGCAGTATGTATCAGATGATATAAAATATAAAATACGATGACAACAAAAAGCTGTAATGTCCAAACTCATATACAATTGACTAGAACTCAAAAAAGAAACAGGTAAGTACCTGTGGATGACTTGGATCAATAGGAAAAGTATACTGATAATGACTAGCCTGAAAATAAACATTTAATGCACATGATGGTAGTTGCAATATTTTTCCAGTGAAATTCGATGAGTAGTAAGCGCTAAACAAATTCTGCAGGTTCCTTATAAGTTTTTGTGCTCCTTTCGAGAAATATCTCCTCTTTTGTTACCTTGACATGAGAAAATAAATTCATTCAATATCGTTCCGCTGATTTAATATATTTTATCTCATTGTATGTAAATATTGGCCATGAGAGAGAATACCCAACAGTCAAACTAGCCAAAGAAGGAAATAGCTATAAATTGATACACTTATCTACTAGCATCTTATTTGTTGACCTCTTTGATTGTTCTCTGTATTGTTTGCAGAACTTTTCTGTACAAAAAGCCTGTGACCACAAACAAAGCTTCGAATTTGGAGTAAGATTTACAGGGAGCTTTTGTTAAGGAACTGAGGAATTCACATTGGAATTACAGAAAGTATTTGGGATTTGTTTTACCTCAATGGAGCTACTAATATCTCTTTTTTCTCCTTATTTTATGGTTTTCTGAGGAAGCCAATTCTGACTCTATATTGAGAAACTTCCAAGACAATATCTGGTACTAGGTTGAGGAACTTTTGAAAAGATTCTTAGTCATTAACTCCCTGTCTAGCATCATGGCTTGTGGACTTGGGTCTGTAAACCTTTTGTAACAACAATAATCTTTGCTCCCAGACTCTGATGCTAAATTTGTTGCCCGAAGTTTTGTTTTGATCCGTATGTGTACATCAGAAATTTTTTTTCCTTAAAGAGTCTGAATCAATCAAAGGAATCTTGCCTGTTCCTGATGCTCTTTTGTTGTATGTGAAATGCTTTAGTATGCTTTTAGGGAGAATTAAGGTCAATGTCTGCTTTGCATAGTGATGTTTGATGCAATGTTTCTTGAAAAGTTCTCCAGTTGATAACTTACAAATGTTCTTGTGCTGCCACTGTATTGCTATTGCTCGGAAAGTTGGTGAGTAAAATCCATGCAGAATTACCAAATCATGACTTCATACCACACTTTTGGAGGTGTTGAGCTTGGTCTCATATGAACAGCTGATAACATTCCTAAAACTAATGTTTTTCTCATATCTCTGCAGGTTTTACAAATTTTTGAAATGCTGGATGTTTACCTGAAGACTGCATACATGAAGTTGCAATAATTTTGGTGTTTAGCACTAAATGAGAAATGCAGTGTTTTGGTTGCAGTCGACAATGAACAATGCATATTAAAGAGGTTTGAGTAAAGGTAAGGATAGTCTCGGTCTGTTTTTTTCAGTTGAATACTGGAATGTAGCATGTAATTCTCTTAAAGTTAATTTCTGAGAAACCTCTCACTGAAGAAATTTTTTTTGGCAAATCTGAGAGCCTTCTTGGAAGATATATTTCTTTCACTTCTCATCCATAAGAAAACTCAAAAGACTGGCAATAACTACTCTCTAATAATTTAAGATCAACGAAGCCAGAAGGTTCTTTGGTTTCTAATAATCAAAGACTGACAATAGCTACTGCAAGAGAGAGAGAGAGAGAGAGAGAGAGAGAGAGAGAGAGATGTTACTCAACTACATTTGCAACAATTCAAGCACCATCACCTGATGCCTCGCCCAGATCATGTGTTACTGTAAACGCCTTTCAATGAACAAGTTGGATCAGTGGTACCCTGAGGCTCCTTCCAAATGAAACAACTCCCAAGAAAAATGTTCCCAATGCAGTGAAAAGATCTTCAAAGAAGAGAATATTTCATGGTGAAATAGGATCATCCATACATAGCATCATTCTTTTGGACAACCTTGAAATAAGCTTACACAGATAGAAAGTGCAGCAATCCACATGGAAAGTTTGACATTTTGATGTTTGTTACTGACCTTCTGCTTTGGTCGAGCTTCAAAAATTTCAAGTTCTAAGCTGACAAGTTCTATGTGACATCTTAAAACCGACATAGAGCACTCGTTTGATTGCTGCAAGCCGTGTCATGTGCACCAGCACTTAATACCAAATCAATGCCTTATTCTATAGGTAACAGTTACTAAAACAAAAAAACCCAAGTGGGAAAAAAGTTGTTGCAAGCGACGTTCTTTACCATGTTCTCCGAGGATTCCTTTACCATATAACAGATGAAGATTTCATTGCGCTCATCATTTTCTCCATTCACCAACATTGTAGTTGGTGTTATCGTTTCCAAGGTATTACTAATATGCTTACCTTTCAAAAGGTACTTAGAAATAACCTGTGACCCATTCTTCTCTATACTTCCCTGGAGGTTCACACTTTATCTGCCTTGCTCTAGACAGACATTCCAATTCAGTGATCTGAAAGCTACATTTGACATAAGACCATGCTGGCACCACTCTGAACAACCATAAAAAAAAATCTCCATTTCAAGAAAGAAACCTGATATCCTACTCAACCATACACATGCACTCTGGAGATCGTGGATGTCTATAGATGCTCCGAGCAATTGGTCTTTCATGAATTTGCTTGGTCTGTTTGATAGTTTTCCTAACTCTATCCTCGAATTCCTTCCATTCTATTGTGGAGTTCTTCAAAAAAATACTGGCTAGCCTTCGTTTATTGGGTCGTATTGTCGGAAGATTACCTCCTCCGTAATACATACGGTAACCTGAAACAAGAGCAGACAACTGGCTCCCCGAGTCTGTCATGGCAAACGCGTCTGCAGCAGCACATACAATAAAATCCAGGGCTGCTAGCTGCGAAAAGAAATTACACAGTTCCAAGTTCAAGTTCTTTTGCATCAATGAGTTGGTCAAGTTTTCATAAATATGTGAAAAATCAAACTAAGGATCTTCTTTCTCACTTTGCTCTGATTAATGGTGCAAATATTGATGGTACTCGAGGCAAATTTATTAAAAAAGAAAAAAAAAAGAGAAAAGGCAAGTGGTTTTGACTAACTTATCTAGTCCAACTTTCCCAATTAGTGCCCACTTCAATCCAACTCCACCACTCAAATATTGAGCCTACTCCCTTGCAAAAAATAAAATAAAATAATATAATATCCAGCCTGCCTCGTAAAACTAAATTGCTAGCCTACCTCCTAAAACCTAGCCTATATGTGAATGCAAACAGAAACAAAAGATAAGAACAGAAGTTGTCAGCAAAGATGATGAAAATCCACTCGTATCTGAAAGAGAGTTCAATTCTCTAATGGGAAATGCATAGAAAAAATGAGGAAGATCACTTCCTATCTGCAGCCACATGTGGCCTCCTGACAAAGGAAAGAAGAAAAATCTTCTCTTTGCCTCCTTTTTGTTACAGAAATTGTCAATCTAGCATTCACCTCAAGTACACAACTTCCACAGGGATCAAGAGGAAAGGAGAAGAGCTCACTAGACTCTTGTTCACTGCCAATCATAACTTCACATGACCAAAAGGATAATAAACAGAGAATGTCCATGGTCTGGTGGTGTATGTATCAGTTACAAACATTTTGATGCTTGAAGAGGGGATTGTGGCGGGTGCAAAAATGATGCAGCAAATCCAAGCAGGAATGGGATTGTTAGTCTTCAAACAGAAAGTTTATCACTACAGTAAATTCTAGCGAGAGAGATGGAACAAGAGAAATAAAAAGAAGTGAGAATACAGAAAATTGGAGAATAAAAATATCGGGCCAATTACCAAAGGGGATATAACATGCACAATCTCACAAAATTTTCAGTAGCTTTTGCAAGGAATGTTATTCTTTTATAAACTACAGTCAAACTTAAATTAAAAGTTTGAACAGATAAGAATAGTTTACAAAGTTGAAACCATAACAAGATTGGCCCATGATGATAGAATCAAATATGGATTTGATTGGATCGAACTGACATGATCCAAATCAATAAAGAAAATAATTTTTGATAGAAATATTATGACATGATCTTATATGGACTAGAAGGGAAACCAGGATAATGATTCTAAATGAATGTCATAAATCAATAGTAAGAACCTCAAACTACATTTTGCAGTCTGGGATTAACTATTTTGTAATTGCCTTTTCTATATCCCTTTTCTCATCTTTAGTAATGTGCATTATCTATTCTGTCTATTTTATAGTCTGAAATGAGAAAGCCACAGGATTTAGGTTGACAATGTTAGGAGCTAGCCTTCTGCCATATGAACTAAAGAAATCTTGTTTGCAATCTGTACACAATTGTCTCGTACTAGTTATCTTACCAAACTCGTGTACCACTTGGATGGCCCATGCTAGCACTCTTGTCTAATCCCTATCTGCTGCTGCCTAGGTTGTGTCAGAGTGAATGATCGACTCAACTGAGGCCTGGCACCACCGCCACTACTGTTCCAATCATACTGGGAGTTTCTAGGCCGATGTCACATGGGCCGGAAGTTTGGGGCTATCGTCCACATTATCCCCATTATCCATATACTAATCATATGTGACTGACATAGATGTCAGCCTATCCATGTCTGCTTACTATACATTTTGCTGCAGTCTTAGGGCTTTTCAACATCCAACTTTGTCCTGAAATCCTATTTGACATCTTGCAGTACCTTTGTGCATTTGACCATGTTAGAAAATCCATCAACCAAATGTTGCTTCAGATAGGTTTTTTCCATCCTGACCAATATAATCATAGTGGATTCATTGCCAAAGATAGTAGTTATCCAAACAACGGGCATGTTGCTATGTTGGATTCGTACCCTTATTGCCTTGGTGCCATTTTTCTAGAGAAGTTGCCAATCTTAGTCAAAGCCTCTAAGGCATAATTGTGAAATTTACATCTGGTACTGTAAATTGAAGTTGGATCCAGATGGATTGAGCATAGATTATATATAAATCTAGGTAAGTTTCGCAAAGATCTAGATTGAATCTATGCAGATCTAGGCTAAATCTGCAAACAATCAAGTCTAAGCAAATAAAGTCAGATCCTTCAAGACCTAGGCTCAATATAGGCAAACGAAGATTGAATCCGAATGGATCTAGGCTATTATGGTGTTCTAGGTTCGACCTAAGCAAACGAAGGGCAAATCTGCACAGATCAAACCCAGATTCACATAGATTGACCTAGATCCGCAAGGATCTTGGCTAGATCAGAAGGGAGTTTGATCCAATATGAGCCTATTGGCGCTGAATGATTTTGATCTACACTATACTGGTGTACATAGGTGAGGTGAAAAACGATGATCAAGAAAAATTAACCTAAGCACAAAATTACACTATATTTGATCTACACTATATTTGTACTATCCTAAGCACAAAACTTTAATCAAGAAAAATTAACCAAAATGAGCTAATTTAAGTTCGAATTTACCTTCACTTGGAGATGAATATCCCTCTTTTCTTGAATTTGGTCCTTAATTTACTAGGATTTGAGAGAGTTTGGGACTTTGGGAGGTGAATTTTAAAGAGATTGAGAGCAAATGGAAGAGAATGAGTGAGAAAGGTTGAAAGTTGAAACCATTTTAAATATGAGTGGTGGTTTGGAAACCAAGTGGTATGCTCATCCTCTATTTGGTGTGTACCTGTCATACTTTGATAATACTTAGATCAGAGTATAACATAAAATGATGAGTGTCAAGGTTGGTGCACCCCATTCAACACTGGATTGAGTGAAATTGCCAGGTTTGCATGCTGGTCCCTTTTCAGACTGGGATACACCAGGGTACACCAGGCAATACTTCCAGCATTCCAAAGAATGCTAGATGTTTCTCTTCCCCAGTCAATATGCTGTCCCTTGTACTGCATGATATTTGAAACACTACTAGAAGTTCCCACTATAGGGCAAAAAGTTAAAAATAGGCCTTTGCACAAGCATGCTTGTGCACGACACAGTAATACAAATGCTGGTACATTTAATTTTCTCATCCTCTTTTGTTGATTTTGTCCATAATGACTAGGTATCTTAATAAGAAAATGAGAATTTGACCTTCTATCTTTCATCCTTTGCATCAATCATAGGCCAAGTCAATCATAAATAAAGTTCTCCTCATATGACATCAATTGTTAAATTATAACCATAACTTCCAAATCTATTTTTCTAGATCACTCATGAATTTTGTTATCCTGATTGAAATTAATATTTTAGTCAATTAACTTATTGAATTTTGTGTTTGATTAATAAAAAATTAAAAACACAAACAGAATTTGAATTCTGCAGTTGATTAGCAAAAAATATTAAAAATGCCAAACAGAATTTGACTTCTGCATTCGATTAATATAAGATATTAAAAACAACAAACAGAATTTTAGATAATATTACCTGTGAAGAGAAGTTGCGAAATGGTTCAATTTCAGATGAAGATAGAAGGCTTTCCTTAGTTGCCAAATTAGGATACAAGCTATTTATAGTAGCCATTCGTAATTTTCCTCCATAAATTTGGGCACCTGCAACATATATGCTAGTTTTTCGCTTAAAACCCAGAGAAGCAAGCATAAGGACTGCTTCTTCAGGGGTAAGAGGACATTTGCCTTCAGATCGCAGAAATGCAGCAGAAGGTACCCTGAAATATATGTGAATTTATTTAAGGCTTTGCATGTGAACATAAAAGATCTAAAAGCCCTTACATAGATAATGAAAAATAGTAGCATTACATAATGATATGTCAAATATTTTGAAAGAAAAATATTTTTGAAAATAGTGATATATCAAATGAAATGATACTAAAAGAAATATCTTTCTTCTGCAATTTATATATCTGTTACATACTTTGTAGTGTTCTTGAGAAGTGTCAATGCAGGAAAATGGACAGCTCGATATGCTTCTAGCTCATCTTCTTCATCCTTGCCACCACCAAAGTGACACATGGAGTATGCTGCCATGTCAATTTCAAATCTGAGATGCACTGCTAAATACCTTGATGGGACAATTTTATTCCCTTTCATAGTAAGCTTTTCTGCAAAAGAACCTAATAGATTATGTTCCAAGGGTCCTGAATGTGATACATGATGACGCATTCTCTGTATAAGCAAAGCACCAGTCTCTTGTATCTTTTCAACAAACCGAAGTGCATGAAAGTTGCATCTGCACCGAAGCCTCTAAATATTCCTTTTGTTAGGAAAAGAAGAATTAAATTAAGGCCTAAAAGACAAACTAATTGTAAAGATCAACAGATTTCCTCCACTGAATCATGCAGCAGGCAGTATATATGTCAGTGCATCCAGTTCACTAGTCGTCATTCCAACTTCAATTTTATTAGCAAGATTAAAAGGTTACTTTTATGCTTTGGTGCCTCCAATAATAAAAAAAATGAAAAAAGAAACTTCCCCTTGTCCAGAACAGCTACACAACAGAGTGAAGTTGAAATTTTAATTAGCCTGTCTATGTCATGACACTCATTCTTAACATCCTAAGACAATAAACTATCTTTATGTAAATAAATTTTGACTAGCCTGTCTATCTTTATCTAAATAAATCAACTAGTCAAAATTTTAGGGTCATCAACTTTTAGGGCAGGTATTGACCAAAGATTGTTAGCATGACATTAGTTTAAATTTTAAAATTGGAGGAAGAAAAGAGAGATATTTCTCAATTTGTTGGTGAATATTACATTTTTGTCAGCAAGTTCATCATCTCTAAAATTATTGACTGATGCATCTTGCAAGCTCAAGACAATATTTCTAATGATATATCCATTGGCCAAATAAATCATCTCACCAGAATTCATGATATGGACCTCTGGAGTTCTGTGCATGAAGAACAAATCTTTAATGGAGAACTGATATGATTAAGCAATTAAGAAACAGTAACCGTCTAGATAAACCTGTATTAATAATTTAATATATGAGTCGAGCAACAGGATAATAAATGTTGCTTCAGTTTTCCCAGCATTTCTGAGAACAAAATTTGGTTTTCCTCCATTCTCGCACTGGTTTACCATCAACAAAGATTGTTTTCAGAGAATCGTATACCACTCTTCCTGGAATATTACTGTACCATGGTCCAATACCAACTTATAAATTTTTTTAATTATTGTTTCCCATTAATACAGGGCCATATAAGTCAGTGTACCACTTGGTATACTGGTATCTTACTAGTCCAATCAGTTATTAAAACCGGTATTAGACCAATATTTAAATTGTTGATTGCTCTTTCAGAAAATAGATTAACCAATGGATATATTACTAGATATGGACCATACTCATAATCCTGGTCCAGTGATCCAGTTGAAAATTTGATTGGATATGATTATGATTGACCCAATCCTACAAACTTTATTATACATGTTATATATTAATTTGTTTCCATGTATAAAAATGGTCATTGTTTACCCACCAGTAGATTGTAATTTAACAGTGAGCGAACAATGACAATCAAAAAACATTAAAAAGATGCTATCAAGAGGAGCCCTTAAGTCCATGAGTTGACCTCTTTCATAAAATTCAATTACCGAAGCAGTATGACATTAGAAAAAAAAAGACTATGCTAACACTATTGTATCAACACAGTACACTGGCCCATTTTGATCACAGCATTGTATATATCAAGCAGTACATCCAGTATGGACTAGAACAATCTAAATTGACCTTTTAAATTTAAATATTATACCTTGGAACAAAGAACATGGCGAACATCTACCTTTAGAAACTTACACGTAACATTTGTTAAATGATTACAGTGTTTCAAGACTGAAGCCCAAGTAAAATGAAGGTAAAGAGTCATTCCACGGGAACATGGAAACAGAATAGTTGCATTTCCACGGTAGAATATTTCTATATGGCATTTTAACTTAAAAACATTCTATACTATAATGAATGTGTAAATTTTGCAGATATTATACCTGTAACTCAAATGGTACAGGGTCAAATGCCAAGCGATTTCCATAACCAACAAAATGGACCACCCTATTTTTTAGTAGGATCGGAAGAATCTGTTTCAGGTAAAAACTCGGTTTTGCCTCTTTCATTATTTCAGCATCAGTCACCTACCAAAAATCCAGTTTTTATATCAGACGACAAAAATGAAAAAAAAATAGATTGAGCTTAAAATAATTCTCAATAGTATCATTAATTGGCTGTTGAGAAAATGGCACTTACAATGCTACCAATTGCTTCCAAGTCTAGTGACTGCAGTTCAGAAGGCAATGCCTTCAGTATAGGAATATCATCTTTCAAGTAATTGATAAAATGCTCCTCCTGGTATATATCGCCGAATTGGCTAAGATATAGAACTCAATAACGTCATTTTCTATACCTAGAATAAAACATTAATGGAAAACTCATACGCAAAAGATATACTAACCTTTGAGACTACTTTAGACAAGGAATGCATTAAATTTTCCATAAAATAAAAAATAACTTGGTTTTTAGGTTTGAACAACTACGACTAAAATTTTTGTATTACAAATTCATTCACAACTCATTTCATGCTGATCATTTCAATGGTTAACAAACAAAATTTCAACTGCTGTTTTTTTCAAGATTAGGTTTTGTATATTAACAAAATGATAACTTTCCTTATTGACACTATAGCTAAAATTAGTACTGCTAAAAGCATCTTGCTATCCATGCAACAATTGTGTTATTCAAATTAGACCCCGTAATTAAAAGAACCCAGCAGCAAAGTCCACTATTGTTAATTTAATCATCTTATGCTGCATGTAGCTAATGTGCTTTCTTGTGATTTATTTAATATTGACTTTATTAAAATAATTATGGCTATTCATTTTACTTAAGTGCTTGATTAGACAAACATAAGACTTCAATAGAGGTTAATGTTTCTGACAATGTTAACAGAATATGTAACTCATAATAGTTCTAAAGGAAATTAGTGCTTTCTAAATCTCAATGATAAGCAACACAAAACCAGTTCCACAATAAAACAAAATTATAATTTACATGGATATTAACCTATTCATATAAGAATATAATTATAAATAAAGGAGTTTAAATTTCCAAATTCTTTCTCTATGTAACAAAAATTGGTTATGTTACAGCTGGGCGCTACAATATCTTCTAAGAATCTAAGTTCTACAATACATTCATCATTTATTTTTGAAAAACCAAATATGTGTAAAGAGAAGATTGACAAGAGATATAGTGAAAGGATATAAGCTCAATAATTTGATTTTAAGAAAGAGTACCTTTTATCTCTCCATACACTACTGTACAAAAACCGTGGAAGCACGAGAGTTGAATTTAGTAATCGAGCAATAGCAACTGCATTGCAGATCTGTTAAACATAGACAATTTTAAGTTCACAATGGGTATAAATTGGATAAATCCAAAGCAGTTTTGAAAGAACTATAGAGTTGATATAAATGGCAGTGTGGCACACCAGTTAAAAAATGTAAGGCAAGTTAAGCACTATACCAAAAGTTGCCACATTAATGAAAGGTAGCAAACAAAGATAACAAAACAAAAGTTTATATGATACTTTCATAAATCAAAAGTGCATCAAATATACATATTCTGTGGATAATTCTTTCTCAAGAGGTCTGTGTGATCAAAACAGAGACCTTTGGGGTCTACAAGAGGTACAGAAAAACCATCCCAAATCCCTCCTGAATTAGTGATGAACTTAAATTTGGGTTAAATTGGACATGTTTTACATTTTAATAATATTCTCTTTTCTTTAGAATAATTTTAGTAATTTAAAAGGGGTTTTTGAAGACATCACAAGTCAACACATGGGAACATCTTCTACGTTTGTACCCTGTCTAGATTGCTTAAGAAGGAAAAGGAAGCCAAATGATACAAGGGAAGAATTTGAAATTTGAGTTTGGTTGAGGATTCAACGGTTTAATCAAGGATTTCATCCCTAAGAAAGTTCATGCTTGATTAATATATTTCCACAAAAAAGGAAGTCTAAGTCCATCAAATATCATATAAAAAGAAAAGATTGGCTTGCAAAGATACATTTGGAAGTGTATAATGCATAAAGAAAAAGAAACTAGGTTAATAGGCCTTGCTTCAAGGAATGTAATTCTTGGCTATAATTTTTTGTAATTATCATTTTCATTAGTCTTGCAGTTTTTCCTTTTATTGTTACGAAAATGATGCTGAACTTCTTGCCATCATAATATGTATACTAACCACACCTTAAGTAATGGATGATTGAAAATGCACCAACATTTTTTTCATCTAAATTAAGGGACACAAACAAGAGCTATGAGGTGATCATTGATGGGGATAGTAATGCTGAACTAGACTCTCAACCTAGCAAGGTGCACAGTACATAAAATCACTATTTCTGTTAACCAACGCTGCCTAATGCCATCAAATTTACTACTTATGAGTATGTTTGGTATGAAGCCTGCCTATAGAGACAAACCCATGTCTTTTTAGGATCACCATAAATTGTTAATGTAGATATGACCCACTTTCATGGGTCCAACATCCATATGTTGAAATCATGTGTTTTAATTTCGATCACACCAATCAGTGCAAATTAATATTTGTTTCACCTGGTTCAATTTGAGATGCTACTGTATGGTACAAATCGGTATGTTATTAGATTCAAGCCTAAATAATGTGGAGCAGGCAATTTTGCTCGATCCAATTTGAGATGTTGCCTACTGCCTGATCAGCTCTTCATATCATACTTATTTAAGTAGTAAGCTAAATGGAATTGAGCTAGTACTGAGATCTCGTTTATTTACTTTTTAAATCCCAATTCTTGATATTTTTATCAGTTATTCTCCTCTCTTTCTTTCCTTCATCTAGGTGTGAACCAGTCATGCTGCCTTTTCCTTGCATTGTTATCAGCTCCTCATGTCACCGATGCCTCGTCGCCACCTCTTCAAGTCGCCTCTGCATCTTCCTCCTCCGCCTCCTCCCCTCTCCTCTCTTTTTCTCCATAGGCTGGGTGGTACCAAACAGTACCAATTTGTATTGACATTTAGCACATCAATCAATATCAATATTTTACCAATTTGGCCACCAACCAATACTGATACTGGAATGAGATTTAATTCTTAGATCAAAGTTCAATACAAGGTAAAGAAAATTATGCTGAACTCCATCAGAACCAGTTGAGGTCAATAAGGGCAAAGAAAAACAACAAATCGAGAAATCAGTGCATGTAAAAATATAACTTCTATCAAATTTAAAAGACCTGAGAACATAATTTATGCTCTAGTGGTTAAGGAAATCAAATTGCTCAATAACAGTGCATATATTATTTTTCATTATTTAAATTGATGATCCTAGGTGGAATAGGTTGAGATATCATCCAATAGATTGTTACCATACTAGCTTGATAAGTTAGCTTGATAAATCCTGGTACAAGACCAGGATTTAAATCCTTGCTTGACACTATCATCAAATTAAAGTTATACACAGAAGCTAAAAATATACAAGATCTCTTGAATATATAGTTGGCATGAATAATCTTTAATACTAATGCTAGTAATAGATTCTTATGCTAAAATTAGTGACATGTGATCCAAAACTCAACTAAAAAAGGCTATTTCACCATTTGGTTACCTAACATGAATAGTTGCAACAAACATTTGACAAACAAAATGGGAACGTTATCTCAAGAGGTAAATTTTGATGGCCTTGAATATCAAACAAAACCATGTCCTTTCATGCTAATATCTCAATACCTTACATCCAAAAGCAACTGTAAACAAACGACAAAAATTTGGATTGCAAATGTCAGTAATAGTGTAATACTAGTGTACTACTAAGTAAATTAAATAATTGCTTACAGCGACCCGTTGCTGGTTTATGCCTCCATTTGCACTGACTATAATGTATCCATTATGTCCATCTACATTATCAAGAAAAGAATGACAATTGAATATCATTATAAGAAACTATATGTGCTTTCCGATCAATTATACAGAGATCAAGAATATCAAGTTGAACAACAAAACATATTGAAATAGGAACCAAGCAAAACTTTAGTATTGAACATGATGTTTATCATGGAAAAACTTGTTCAAATAAAGTACATAAAAAAAGAAAAAGAAAGTGACTTACCACAACGTTCCCAGTTACGTTCATCAGCACAACGCTTCCATGTAGTAGGACCGATGGGTTCCTGCCATAAATCTTGAGGCTCTGGTCTGCTATCAGCCTAATCCAGAAATAGTTTGATAATAATACTAGTTCATTTAAGTCACTAAATGGATTTCTTTGTCTGCATTTTATGGGATGAGGTAGGTGGATTCTTTTACCTCAGCCAAAGCATGGGCAGCCAATCCCAGCAGTCTGGAAAACATGACTCCAGTAGACCTTTGACCATTGCCATAAATATTCCATTTCTCCTGAATGGAATAAATATATAGTGAAACAATCCATAATAATTTGAAATGGTTATTAAAAAATTGAATAAAGACAGCGAAACAATGTCCTAAACACATTACACAGGTTTTGAAGTATACTTATGGGAGTGACTGCAGTATAACTTTTTGCTAATTGATCCATTTTTGCTTTTGGAACAAAATGAACTTGGTCTCTTAAAGTCAATGGCCATAATTTTATGATTTGATGTCCATAGTATGATGCAAGGTATACATTTTCGAATAATACCGTCCGTACCGGGCGGTACATATCGGTCCATCAGCTAACCGGTATACAGACCGCTCGTTACCGAATGGTATATATACATATATACACACACACACACACACACATATATATATATATATATATATATTGAACGGTATACCGCTCGATATACAGTATCGTACCGTACCGAGCGAATGTCGAAACGTCGGTACGGTATGATATTTCAAACCTTGATATGATGTGTTGCCTATTTGTTCTCCTTGGCTTACAACTTGCTATTTTCAAATTTTTATGGCTTGCACAGCTAATGGTACTAATTCATTTGGATGTGTTCATGATATCATGATCAAATTAAATATTCATGCATAACAACAACAACACAAATATAAAAGTTATCAAGATTTTGACTAAATAAAGCACATAATATGTTAAAAATTGCCACCCGATAACTAGGTTCTTCTCTGTCCCAACACAATGCAGTTGTACCTCACCGTCCAGATGAATAGAGTATCAAAGAGAGACGAGTAAGGTTCAGTATTACACAATGTTAAAACATGGATATGATATTCCAATAGTCTCAAATCAAGAAATAGTTTGTTATTACCAAGGTCTACAATTTCGTACCATACCGGTGTTTCGATGATCACTTGGTACGATACGAAACTGTATACCGAACGATATACCGTTCGATATATATATATATATATATATATATATAT